CTTTCTCTTCTGTCAGATAAAACTGGCACCCAAATTGAAGAAAATGCAGTTATTACACCTCCCCCACAGCACAAATTTACCAATCATCTCTGTCCAAACACATTTGAACTTAATTGTTTAAAGCATGTTAGTGGAAGAATTCTTCATTGGTTAATGTAGGTATCTTTAAATAAGGAACATTTTGCTGCATTCATACCCCTGAAGCTAGAAGAATCCACAATACTATTGTTCAGTAGCTTCAGAAAGTGGAAACAGAACTGCCTGTAACAGGATTGACTTCCACTTGTTCTTCAAGCAGCTCCAGGTCCCTGAGCCAGAGGATCTATCTCTTGGCTTTGCTTTTCCCCTCTACACTTGCTTGAACTTTCTTCTTGGGATAAAAAACACCTGACGCTCTACTAAAATGCTGAGTGGTCCTGCTAATTCTCACTCTAATATTAGCATGCTTACTGTACCATGAGTCTGCGAATGGGAGTAATTGGGGGTATAACCTTCAGGGTTGTGAAGGTCGTTCATGATATAGTCACCTTTCTATCTACTAGATGTTTTTTGGTGAATGCTGAAAAATGTACAGCAAGAAATACGTTATGGCTCCTGCTGTCCTACTGTCCCTGCTGATGGGAACAGCAAAGGGACAGAGCTCTTTGGATACGATTGCTCAAATGTGGAGGGATGGATACTGAAATCTTTTCTATCCAAATATTGAAAGTTGACATAATGTATTAAGGCAAATTTATGAAGTACAATTATAAATTACGGAAATGTACTGCCACCTGCTGCATATTAAAAAAAAATCATTGCAGGAGTGTATTCCTCCCACTGGACTTCTTTATAAACCAGGTGCGATCAGACATGTTGAACCATAAATGAATTTATAAGATATGGTAACAGCCATGAAGAACTAATAATTTGGACTATTTTGTAACCTTAATTTTCTTATCTGAAATGTTCTCATCTCTTCATTCTTCCATTTTATCTTTTTAAAATTCTGTTTTCCCCTTCTCTAGCTCATTCTTTGAATACCTTTTTATGGCATCCTTATGTATAGGTTATTTTTTCATCTGGGGATATTAATTGCATTTTCTTTGTTTTCTATGTCTTGCATTTAGCTCTGTTCCTCTGGAGTTCTTTCCTCTCTTCCCATTTGCTTTTTTTTTTTTTT